ATTTACTGGGATTACAAGGGCAGCTGAAAAGAAGTGAAGTAACAGGTCGTTGACAACATGCTCTTCATGACCAACCATGTTACGTTCTGTTTGTAACACTGGGTGGCAGGAGTGCCACTTGCATCCTGCCACCGTCCAATTGGTTGCTAGACACTTGCCCCAATGAGCCCACAGGCGGCTCCAAAGACGACGCCGCCCAGGGCCAGGCGAATGAAGCTTACTACGATCTCTGCATTTGCTTCTTCTCCTCAGCGGCGGGTGGGATCAAAAAAAAGGGCACCCGGTGCTCATAATCCAACACAAAAGGGGATCCATCCCTTCACTTATTGCCACTCTCACTCCTTGTGTTGCATGGAAAGTAAGCTAAAACTGTGGCATAGGGGTGAAGACAGCATGCAAAGTATGTACCTCATATTATCGGATCCTGTCTTCCAGTCCAGAGTCATGTGCCCATGTACACTCTACTCTTCTTCCCCCGCCCTCTCCTTTCATCAAGTTGTAGAACACCAACCACACGACGATCGCCGTCCCGTCCTCAGTGGCCACGAGGACTTCGGAAAGGGATCCTTTTGTTTAACGCAAACATGTCCATGCCGAGGAGCATTGAGAAGGGACTCGCCTGCAATCTGCATGGTCAGCACCCTGCTTGCTCCCATCTCCTGACAAGGCTGAGGACTCCAAAGACCGGGTAGCAGGACAGCCTGGGCAGCCTGACCCTCCTTGTGACCTGATGCACCTTCTTGCGCAGTGAAGAACCACCTGTTTGGGGTGATTCGAAGACCGGTGCCATGCTGTGACGTTGGTCCATGGATTCGCTCGGGCGAGCACGGCCCAGCTGGGTGATCGGCCGGGCCGTCAATCATCGGCCGCCCGGGCCCTCCAACATGTAGGCTGTGGGTCCTTGGAATGGACCCATCCAAATTGGGTGGGTTGACCCGACCGCCTTGGTCCGTTGGTCCGGGCGAGGTCGCCCGCCTTCAAGAGCCCCACCACGGCCACAGGGTCCGTCGCAGCCAAAATACTGCCAAAGGCTGCGCATTCGAAGTGGTCCCATCCTTGGTTGAGAATGGCATGGGAAGTCCTTGCAGTGCCAAATTCTTGGCAAGAAGGAATTTGAAAAGCCAACGGAGGCTCCGTGCTCTGACATGCAAGATGCTACCAAGATTCCATACGGAAACACATACTTTGCAACCAAATAGATGAGGGAGGTTCCAATGAGGACGCCAGGTCCTGAGAAGAGTATCATACCAACCTGGATAAATGATGCTCAAAATTCCATAGATGCATCCCCTGCATTCTGGTTGCATGTGTCCTGCTAAGACCAAGCATTGAGCTGCTGTTTGCCGAAAATCATGCCAAACCTTAGCTGCAGGTCGGGACCCCAAAGCATTTCCCGACCAAGGCGCGGGCCCAGGTTGCCAAGGCACGATTGACATCGCATCCCCAAAAAGCAGCACGGGCAGAAACGCATAGAGAAGTAGATGGGGGTCCTGAATCCGAGATATCCAGAGACATTTTCAAGAGTTGCTGAAGGCAACACTTGGTACCGCATTGATTTCAAAGGGCTGTCCTAGATCCCTCCTAGCACCTATATATGCATTCGCCCACTTCATTTAATTTAGATGGGTCATGTAATTAACTCGCTTGCCTAAAAACTTTGTCATGGAATCACATGTGCGTTCCTCCGGTTTTTCACTCCAGGGTTTTTGGCCTTCTAAGTGCCCGCCGCGGCTCGATGGTCACCCAGAGGCTCAGGCTCTGCGACAGCGTTCCGAGACCGCCCGAGGTCTTGACGTCCAGAAATCCGAGGCAAACACCCACGAGCCTTGGTCAGAAGCGACAGCTTTTGCAAGAGAGAACGGCCAAGAGAGAACGGCACACCGTACGGCGTACGTACCATGCGATCATCCGCCTGGTGTTTTCATGAGTTAAGCTGGCAAACAGCCTGCATATCATCCACCTTGCTATCTCAAAGCGCGGAGCGGCTTGAAGTACATGACGAGCAGCAGCAAGGAGACCGTGTAGGGGATGGTGCGCAGCCATCGGAACCGCGAAGTGACGTGGGTAATCGTCAAACCTCCACAAAAAAACGGTGTTCCAAAAACATGCCACAAAAAAAAAATAGAAACAGCACCAGAGCACCAAAGTCATTTGTTGGTTTCGAGCGATGGCTTTTAGTCAGAACTGTTCACCGTCTCTATAGTCCGTCTCAGGTCCGTCCAAATGGATGCCGACTCCATCATGCCAATGGATTCTCTAGTTGTTAGGTACTAAGCCATCCCGGCCTATAAGCATTGACAGCACGGGAAACCTCAGGAATGAAATATACTTATTGTATATGAACCAAAACTGCATATGCCAGCAAATGGAGCTGTGGCATCAAAAATGCACGATCATGATGATCATGTGTGATTCTGTTTGATCAAAGCACTTCCAAAGCCAGGTGACAACAGCACTGCATGTGGATGCACATGCTCTCCCAGCGACTCCTCATCCGGCTCGCAGTGAATTCTATCGCACATTTGATCGATCACAAGAAGTTGAGTTGCCGGTGCACGGGATGTAGTTGCACATTTGGGGTTTGGCTTGTAACTGGCCTAACGAAGTTTGTTGGTCCTTCTCAGGTCTTTAAAAAATGACTTCGTTAGGACATGGGAAATGGCTTGCTATTTGAGAGCTGCAATAATCAATGATATAATCAAGGTAGGAGTCTGATCGCATCAGACTCACTACTTGAACTCTGGCAAAGGATGCTTGAGAAAATAAGAAAACCAGCAAAGGGCCTGTCCGCCCGGATTTCCTGGTAAGATCCACATGTACTGCCATCCTGGGTAGCGCTCTTGGTGTACTGTATGCTTGGTTTATGTGCTGTAAGTGGTGTGTATGTTAGGTTGATTGCCCCCAAAAAGCGGCCTTGATGCACCAAGTCTCTGCATCATGAGCAGCTAGAGTAGTCTCATGATGAGCAGCTGCAGTAGTATCATCATGAGCAGCTTGAGTAGTTGTGGATGCAGTTGAACCCAGGAGTTGCCCAGTTGCGACCAATATCCATAGCTTCCGCATGGGAAGGAGTTTCACTCCTTTCGGGACATGATCCTAGGGCTGCAGCAGGTTCAAGGCAAGAACCATCAGCCAAACGACAACTCTAAAACAAATTCAGAGGTGACTCCGCGAATCAATCGGACTCCATGTGTCTTATCGTTCGCTCTTACTTTGCAACGGGATGGAAAAATCTCAGGAGTGTCCAAAAGACTTTATACATCTTGTGATCCATGTGGCTGTGCATGTGGATGATCCTACTTTGTTTGGCAAATGGAGCTCTCGGCTGCAATTAGCTTCGAAGCGCCAAAGTTCACGTTGTCCACTGTGTATGTGAAGGGCCACCTCCACTCCACCCCCACTGTTCGTACCTGAACTGTCCTTAAAATCATGTAAAGTCATGCAAAAGCTTTGTGTATGTTGCTGTAGGTTGCTCTTGAAAACCAACCCAACTCCTTCAAAAATAGACAACTAAAAAAATTCTCGGCGAAGGCGAAACGCCGCATGCGTTCACCTCACGGTCCAGGCCCAGAAAGCCGCCTCGTGGCACCACGTTCCCCGGGCCGGTGAGGTCCGGCACTGCAGGTGGATCCGCTCACCTGCAGTCCTGCTAGTGGCCAGAAACCACACCCGACTGCAACATTGCATGTGTACGGATAAACCATAGCAGCTGTAGATATTGCCCTTTTCACCCTTGACATCCTTGCAAGCATGCGACTTTATCTACTCATTCACTTCCTTGTCGGTGCCATCCAGCAGCCACACCTGCATAGGCTCAGGCTCACCTGTCATCAGAGCACACTGAGCCAATCTGACAATCTGGGCTTCAAACTCTGGATGCACGATACTGGGTTCACTGAAAAAGGTGCTGCGGGTTCAACCTCTTCTTTCGATCTTGGGGACACCCATGCTTGTCTTGGCACACCCTCTCTCTCTCTTCCTCTTTTCGTCCTTTCGTCGCTGTCTGTCTTGCATGTGTCTTTCTTTCTGTCGTTCTGTCATTTTTCTTGTCTGTTTGTCTGTATTTTTGTTATTTTCCTGTTTCTTTCTACATATGTATATATACATGTATATATATATATGTGTGTGTGTGTATGTATTTCTTTCTTTTTCCTTCGTTTTCTTTCTTCATGTCTGTCTTTCTTCCTTTTGCTTCCTTTATTGCTCTTTCTGTATGTGTCTTTCTTTCTATCTGTCTTTCTTTCTTTTCTTTTCTTTCTTTCTTTTCTTTATTACTGTTCTTTCTTTCTTTCTTTCTTTTATTACTTGTTGTTCGTTCTTTCTTCCTCCTTTCTTTCTTTAGTTATTTCTTTGTTTCTTTCTTCCTGTCTGTGTTTTTTCTCTCTCTCTCTCTCTCCCTCTATCTATCTATCTATCTATCTATCTCTCTCTCTCTCTCTTACTTTCTGCCCGTCTTTCTCCACCTCTCT